TTTTTTTTAAAAAGACAAGATCTTAGTACTAATAGTAGCAACATGTTTTGTTTTTTTGAACTAAGAAAACTTTCAAGAGTAAATTTTATTTGCCTGAATTTTGTTATTTTAAAGACTATGTGAAACAATCCATCATCACTTAAAATTTAATTCTTTTACTCTTAAAAAGAGGGCTGTGTAAGACCCCGCGAGCCTTTCAGCACCGTCTCCTAAAGTATCCGATAAGGAACGCCAAGAATTACCTTGCTGACTTCTTTTAAAGCCCTTTTGCAGACTTCGTATTTCGGAGAGTCCTTCGATGTTTTTTGACAGATGGTCTGCAAAAAAGTAAATGATAATTCAGTCAACCAATTAATAAAATGAAATCCGATGTCTAGTCTCATCCTCGATCTCCTAATAACTTCAACCGGGCTGGGCACAGTTTTAAGGAGTAAGTGTACTGATGACTCTAACTTTCAATTAGAATATTAAGAAACACTCTTAGAGGATCAAGTTAAATCCAGAGAACGTTCTGCTAGAAGGCAACTTCAGAGGCAGCAGAAGCTAATTCTACATTTCAGATCTACCCCCTTTTGGCCTTGGGCATGGCACTCATCTCTATATGTGGGCCTCAGTTTCCCCATCTGTAAATGGGTGGTATGCCAATTATGTCCTAAGTAATTGGCAGGATTAAATGGGGGGGAAATGCATTTAAAATTATTCCTAAATCCTTGGCAGAAAGATAGCTCTCTACATATGGTAAGAGTTACTTTCATTAACATCCCCACTGTCATTGTCATTACTAAGGGTAACTGTATGTGAAGACGATAGTATACAAATGAAAAGATTGATGGGAAAAGGGCAGGTAGATCTTCCATTCTACTTCCAAATTGCCATTTGTGATGGCAATACTGAGTCTATAAAGTGTTCAAGTTCATTAACTTACACTTAATCTGAGAAAAACATACATTAAAAGCCAACAACCACTTCCACTGTTTAAAACAGTCCTTTCAAGGGACAAGTCTAAAACAATTTCTAAACGAAGTAAAGTTGAAGTGATAATATTTTTAGTAGATTTGGACTCTTCTTAGGTGGGCAGATGCTGACAGTAAGTACACAGAGCAGGGTGGTGGCAGGCAGCCAGCAGAGGTGAAAGGAGGGACAGCCTGCAAACCCAGGACGCCATAGATGTCTACGAACACCAGGGCTATGAAGTGCCAAGCCAGGCATCAGGATTGTTGCATGTGATATGTGAGAAGCACAGAGAACTCGTAGGTTCCTACCAACAGCTCTCATTTTCTGACTGACTTATCGCACAAAATAGATTCTCTACTGCTGTACACACACAGAGCAAGATTTTTATTTGTTGTTGTTGTTG